CTGGAGGTTTCTTCCTGTTAGAAGGGAGTTTTTCCTCTCCACTGTCGCTACAAGCATGCTTAGTGTGAGGGATTGCTGAAGAGTCAATGATCTGGTGAACTGTAAAGAGCCTTTAGATGACATGTGTTGTGAATTGGCGCTATAGAAATAAACTGAACTGAATTTAATTCAAACATTAAAATATACTGGATTTTCATTATAAATAAAATCGACAATAAAAGGAGCTGTAGTAATGCAAATAAAGCATTTAAGCATCAATGGAACAAAGAGCAGATTTCCTTATTTCAGATTTTTATGACACAGTTGTAAGGAAGCTCGGGTTCTTAACTTATTTAATCCAAGCCTTGAGTAAGAAAACACCAAACACTTTCCATATTAGCATTTTTGAAGAAATCGTACAAGAAGTAGGGGTGCTGCAGCACCACCTAGAGGTGAGAGGGAGATTTAAAAAAATGTTTTGTAAAAAACTTTCATACAATTTATAAATGTATTATGAGTATTTTGGGAAATGAACTTGCCTTTTTTATTTCGCTATTACTTGTATTTGGATTTTAATATAATTATTTTAAGGCCTACTGACCCATGTTCATGGGAGTTACGTTGTCATGGCAACGTCAAGCAAGCTAGAGCGTGGCCTCCTGCTTCTGGCTGCAGACTAGTAAATGTACGCAGTCTTATGACAGAAGCGAGGAGAAAATATGGCAAAGAAACACATTTCAGATTTGTTCGCTTATTTATCACCGTAACCTCAGAGCGCACCTGAATATTTGGACACCTGTAACCAGACAGGGAACCCTGCCTGTAGATCAATGGTGCAGCAGCTGAGAGGAAGCGGCTGGATCAGCTGATCAGGAAGGCCAGCTCTGTGATTGGATGCCCTCTGGACTCTAAATGAACATCTCTGTAGGATAATGTCTCCCACCCCGTGCATGAAGCTGGTGCTGAACTGGACAGCTCCTTCAGTGACAGACTGCTGCACCTTAAATGCACCAGGGAGCGTTATCACAGATCCTTCCTCCCAGCAGCTGGAAGACTCTAGAACCACCACTGTTCCCATCAACCTCAATAAGTTGTTACATTCATGCTGATTTTGCACAGTTTCTACCTTAGTGTGTTAAATAACACGCTGCTGTCATTTTACACGTCTCTGATGTTGCTGCTATTTTACTGTAAAAATGTCCATATCTGTATATCGGTAATTCATTCTCCAGGTGCAAAGTTTTATATTATATTGTTAAAACACTTTACTTTACAGTATTTTATTGTTTATTTTTTAACTCTTCACTATTATGCTATTCTTATAAATTTTTCTAAGGTCCACATTTGTGTGACCTATTGTTCTATAATCTTTTTCTCCGATAGATAGATAGATAGATAGATAGATAGATAGATAGATAGATAGATAGATAGATAGATAGATAGATAGATAGATAGATAGA